TGCAGGGTGATGGCTACATTACAGCCCTGACCAAACAGAAAATGAGTCACAGCCAAAGCCACTGCCTGTGGCCAGATCTTGGTGACCTTAGACCTAAAGTACTCCAGGAAACTCCTGACTATAAGGCTTGCTAACATAAGCTCCCTGCCTCTCCCCACTGTTGTCCTCCATGATTTTAATTTTAATTTTAATTTTCGATTGTGATACAATAAAAACATACACACATATATAAAATGTATCATTTTAACCATTTTTAAGTATACAGTTCAGTGGTATTAAGTACATTCATATTGCGGTGTGATGGCTTTTTATTTTTGGCATTTCATGATCGTCATCTACTTCAGCCCTGCCAATCTCAGGAAAAACTGCTGCTTGGATCCTACTCCACTTACTGTCTTACTTGTATGACAACCTACAAGGAAACAAAAGTTGATATTGAAAGTCTATCAAACAGGCATTTAAAACTTTTACCCAGGAAGGGAAAAGGGAATAATCAAATCCTTACAATTTGTAGTACAGAGGTTTACAAATACAAATCACTACAAGATAGCAGTTATTATCATTCATTTTAGCAGAACATACAATTTTACATTTTTATAATTTTAAACATCTTATTGGAAAAGTAATAATTCACCGTATCCATAGTCAGTGTAGACATTTTAAGCAGTTCAAGTTAATCAGGCTTTTCATAAGAAAGTAACTAGTTATTTTATGAGAAAATAACTAGGTTCGCAGAACAAGTCTTAATCCTATTTACAGTTCATCAGAAAACTGGTTATGTATTTTATCAAGAGAGCTAATTTCTTCCCAGGAATAGTTTATGAGTTTCAGCATACAAAAGGGTTCTGTCCTAGACCATATTTGGAAAAAAAATTATATTTTATAGTAGCTAACATTTGTCTATTACAGGAGAAATTCTTGCACTTCTTAGTAACAAGACACAAATTTAAATTATTGATGACATACAAAGATGGAATTGATTCCAATTAAGCAAGACCTTGACGTATCCATCATTGCTTTCTGCTCTGTGCCCCAAAGTTCTTTGGTGTGTTAATGTTCTCCTGCCTTCTCTCCTTCCTCATTTTTACCTAAGATGATAATAGCATTTTTTATTTCACAAGACATTTTATGAAATATGATTGAAAATTACATTTCTGTAACTAAGGCCACTGAACTATCAAGGCCATTATTTCTGATTTCATCATTACATTAGTAGGGCCTTGATTAAATTGTTTTGCTAAAGTCTTCATTCTCCCCAGGATTTGCCTGGAAATAAAGGGGAGTCGTGGTTTTCTTTTCCCACTTATATCTTTATATTTTCAATATTGAACAACTCGTTTAAACATGCTCTTCCTCCTATAATCCCAAATCCTATTAATAAATTATCTTCCTAATCATTCAAACAGAACACCTCCCTCAGTCACCTAAGTTCCTTTTCTTTGTCCTGCCCTCCCTGCTAATACTGTCTTTATTAAATTGTCATACGTGCCCCATTCCTTTCCAGTCCATTTGATACACATTGGATCAGGATTAACTTTTTATTGTTCCATTGTTATAAATTCCTAATCAATCTTTCCGTCTCTAGGATCTTTTCCTCCAGTCCAGCCTACACATGGCTTCCAGTTTTATCTTCCTAAAGCACAAATGGTTTCTGTACAGCTCAAAATTTTTAGTGACCTCTATTACCTAACAATTAAAGTAAAAAATCTTCTGCCTGCTCTCCATGACCTGTCCTTCCTTCCTACTTTCCCCCTCCCCATAAGCATAGCCAAGAGAAGAGCTTTGTCCTCCCTTTGTGGACACACTTCAAATGGCACCTTTCCAACCATTTTTAAGGCAACACGTTGATGCAGTGATAGTTAAGACTCTAATGAAAAACATTAATGGAAGTTATATAAAAGTAACATCAAGAGACACATAAAGAAGGTGTTTACAAGGTAGTTTATCCCAGCTTTTTGGTGGTGTAACTTACATACAATAAGGCTCACCCATTTTAAGTGTGCAATTTGATGAGTTTCGGTAATTGCATACCTTTGTGTAACCATGACCACAGCCCAGATATAAAAGAGTTCCATCTCCCGGAAACATTTCCTTGCAGCCCCCTTTGCGGGCAATCCTTCCTCCCACCCTCAGCCCCAGGCGATCTCTGCTCTGTTCTTTGTCACTATAATTTTGCCTCTTCTAGAGTTTCATATGGATGGCATAACATAGTACATAGTCTTTTGTGTTTGACTTCTTTTACTTGACTTCTTTTCCCACTGACTTGCTTATGAGATTCACCTATGTTATTGAATAGATTACTATTTTTTTCCTTTTTGTCATTGAGTAGTACTTGATAGTATACATATACAATTTTTTAAATTTACTCCTCAGTTGATGGATGCTGGGTCATTTTTAGTTTGGGCTATTATGAATAATGCAGCTATGAGCATTTGTACATAAGTCTTTATGTATACATATATTTTCACTTCTCTTGAGTAAATACCTAGGAGTGAAAACAATGGGATGTCTAGTAAATGAGCATATCCATATATTTACCCTAGCCATAGGTGGAAAAAGTTAGCTAGGGAAGTCTAGAGCCCCAGACTTGTGCCAAAATCTGGAAATAAACCCAGATTCTGAGCATCTTCATAACTCAAGAGTTCTAAGCCAACAGCAAACCAAGATATAGTTTGGGGCCTGTGCATCAATCTATATAGCCCAGTAGAGGCAACCACTCCATAGGAAGGCCCACACCCAACCTCCCTACAAGGGAAATCTCCCATAAAAAATAATTCCTATGGAAGATGAGGTCACAGACAAAAAATATAAATCATATGAGAATGTTCAGTTCCATATAAAGAGCCTAGATAATTGATACCAAAACAACAATATCTAGTAGAGCAATCTTAAAGGTACTTAAAAATAAATGTGCATTTAATTGTGTGCTTAATTAATTAAATAATTAACACTGAGGTATTCAGTGTTGAGCTTTTCTTTCCTCCACTCTCTTGTATGTGCCTCTTCCCTTGTCAGTCAGAGGCATTCATGCTACCTTGAGAAGAACTAGGATATTTTAGTAGGAATGCAAAGACAAAAGCAGTATTTACTGTGGAGCAGTTTTTGCTTCTAAAAGAAATGATTGAGAGTCAAGAGGGAATACCTGAGAAGATCAGGGCATAGACTCTAGAAAGAGAAAGAAGATACGCTGCTCAGCCTCTGCCTCACCATGTGGGAGATTGGATAAGGATCACAGGGACTCAGTGAACAGAGAGGTAGAAATGGAATGTTCCTTGAGAAAAGTTGGAGGTCTGGCTCTGAGAGGACCTGACTTGGGAAAGTCACAAGACATCAAGGATTATCTGTGGCCAGAGCTGAGTAAAAAATTAAAGTAAAAAATCTTCTGCCTGCTCTCCATGACCTGTCCTTCCATCCTACTTAAGTCTTAAGACGTCTTAAGACGACTTGTGGCCTCTTGAGTGAGTATCACTTCTCAAGTGAGCACATGTGCTCTCTTCTCAATACCTGGTGAAGGCAGACCATAAGCAGCCATCTGCATAGATTATCCAGGAAGACACTGGCCTATTTCTAAGAATTTGTCAAGCACCTACCAAGCCTTATAAGGAATGAAGCACCTTTCTATGTAATAATATAGAATGATTTCCAAAATATATTGTTAAGGCAAAGTGTATAGTAGTTTACATGGTAGGGTACCACTTGTACCATTTATAAAAGAAAAATATATACACATGTACATGCATATATGTGTGTAGTTAATTATATGCTTATATCTATAAGGAATATCTCTGAGGGATTTAAGGAGTTGGTGACCCTAGTTTTCTCCAGAGATTAGAAGGATGGCTGAGGAATACAATGGGTGAAGAGTCCTTATATTGTAAATTCTTTTGTTCCTTTTGAACATTTTTGTCATGTGTATATATTACATATTGTAAAAATTGAATAAAATAATACAAATGCAAAAATACTCACACAAAGCAGCAATTTTGCTTGTGGATAATTTGCCTGCCAAAGCCCCAACACATGTTCAAAAAGAAACAATGCAATATTGTTTATATGGGCAAAATCTAGGAACAACCAAATTTTTCATCAGTATAGGAATAAGTTTGTAAAATATGATATAGCATATAACAGGTAGAGAGGAGAGATGGAGAGATAGATGACAGATGATAGATACAGACAGATAGATAGATAGATAGATAGATAGATAGATAGATAGATAGATAGATAGATAGATAGATAGATAGATGGATAGATATAGATGGTAGATAGATGATAGATACAGATCTATGCTAGAAAAGTAGTTAAAGGAAATGAACTAGATTTGTCTATCTAAGTATCAACATGGAATGATTCAAAAACATGTTCAGTAGGGAAAAGGTATAATATAGAATATATGTTCAGTGTGCAATTTCAGTAGATTTTTAAAAACACACAAAGTAAATGTATAAAAATGGGCTAGAAGGATACCAAACTCACAATGTAGTTTACCTCTGTGGGGAGCCACATTGTGGGTGTCTGAGTCAGGGAGGGGGGCCTATACTATTTTATTTCTTGAAAATAACTACAAAAGAAAAAGTTGGAAAGCAAAAATGACAAAATGTGAAAAGTTTTTCTTCTGGGTGATAGGAATATAGATGTTTGTTGTTTTATTCTTTGTGTTTTTCTGTATTTTACACAGTTCTAGAACCATAAATGAAAGTAAAATACAAATACCCAGCCTCGGTTCTCCAGACAGAACCTTCTACTTTCTTCATAAAGTCAAGTAAATTCTAAACAATCAGCCTTAACATTATTAGTAAGTATACCTTTAAAAATTAAATTTTGTGTAAGTGATTTTGAAACATTGGGAAACTAGTTGTGGCTTCAGATGCAACGGGTGGAACCATCGTCCAAGAGAACACAGAGAAGTTTGACTCTGGCGACAGTAGGATTCCTCATGCATATCCAGTTACTCAGCTCCAGCCCTCATTCTTCCAAATTCCTGTAGCATATTCTGTTGAGGAATCAAAAGGCTTGCCTCAAGGCATACTCGTTTTCCCGGTTCCTTTTTGCTTTGTGGAAATAAAACATTCTGTAGGCGGAGCTTGTGACTAACATCCTTTAAAAACCGGAGTCTCCATGCTTCCCTGATCACTTCAGTTCCAGTATCTTGCCCAGCAAATTAGCCAGAATGATGCCCGGAGGTTTAACTGATGCCCGACCTGCCACTCCAGAAATCCAGAAGATTGCTGATGAGGTGAGTGGATGCATCCCATGAGAAGGTTTGATCCCGAATCTTGGTTCCTAGGTTGGCCCCGTGTGAGGTGTGTGGGTGAATATGAAACTAGAACACTGGGGAAGGTGTGGCTTTGCTCAGGCTTATTTTCAACTAAAAATCTTTTCAGACAAAACTTCTAATAATCCCCACTATGAGAGTGATCTTGAGCAAGTCACATTTCTTCCTGGAGCCCCAGTTTCCCCATTTTTAAAAGAAAAGTTTGAATTGGATCATCTCTAAAGCTCATACAATGTATGGTTCTAGGATTACTAATTCAGTTTCTGGTGAAACTTTTCTCATCTTACCAAGTGGAGCCAACATATAATTAAAGACTGAAGTTGTTAACAATTTGACAAACCAGACTTCAAGTGCACTACAAGGAAATTTATTTTAGTGGGTTGAATGAAGAACACGAACAGCAATCTACTTACAAACGTCCTACAAATTTGACTATTTGAGTCTTTCAGAATTTAGAAGATGATTAAACTAGTAGAGGAGAAAAGTGGCAGTCTGTGGTGATTCCAAAATTGATTACAGTGAAAACAGAACTCGTCATGTTTTTAGCAAGTTGTTTTATTAGCTATCAACTATATAATAAAAAAGTTATATTGCATATTTTATGAAAAGAAAATATATATAAATTACCCTTTTAAGTTTGTACCTTGTTGCCCTATTTTCTCTTATCATTCCTTCTTGTTTTTTCTCTCTGAAACTTCATTCTGATGCACTGCTTGGCAAATAAGATCAGCTTCTTGTATAAGGGGAAGAGATGAGATCCTCTGTATTAGAACACTGGAGAGCTTTGTAAGAGATCAGATGCCTAGAATTCTACCATTCATTCTTTGGTAAATAAAAAGCCAGATATTTCCCTTTCAAGAGTTCTAAAAAATAAGTATCTTGGAGCTTTTCTCTTGGATGAATAATATTAAGTCATTAATATCTTCATTTGAATCCTTGTGTCAGGTTCTTAAACTTGAATGTCACCATGAATCACCTGGGGGTCTTGTTAAAATGCAGATTCCGACTCAAGAGGCCTGGGGTGGGCCTGAGATTCTACATTTCTAACCATCACTCAGGCTACTGTCCAGGACCTCACAGGCCTACAGGACAGGAGATACATGATATCCTAGGAGGCTTATGGGAGATGGGCTTTCTGAGATCAGAGTGCTGCAAGCAATACTCAATTTCATTTGTGAAATGAGCAAAATACCTCTTGCCCTGCCCATCTCAGAGCTGTAAGGACTAAATGAGATAATATGCACAAAAACGACTTGAAAACCAGAAATTAATAGGTATAGGTGAGGCATCACAGTTGTTTGCTTCAACCTTTTGCCTGAAATCATCCCTGACCCTAGAAAATCCCTGAGACTCTTCAGGGACTAGAACTGTAAAGGGGTTTGGGAGAAACAGAGATTGGAAGTACAGAGGGTGCAGAAAAGTTTAATGATTTTTTTAAAAGGCTTTCTCAGTTAGCAAGAATAATTTTTAAAAAATAAGACGCTTCAAGAAGGCCTTGCTTTATTAATAACACCCATCTATGAAACACATCTTTAATTACAAATTTAATTTAAAAGTCTTTTCTTGCTGCTTACCTCAAGTTCCAACTCTGTCAAAGAGGTAGAATGAGTGACAGGTTTTAGCAGGAGCTACCTCACCCCTGTCCTCCACAGGACCTGAACACATGGAGGAGACAGGGAGGCAGACTTGTCTTCTCTGCAAGCAGCCGGCCTCAGATTTAAATCAGTATGAGAAATGAATATCAGTGAATCATTATCTGAATATCTCTTAGGTGTCAAGCACTGTGTTAAATATTATAGAAAGTATATAAGGACTATATGACATGGCCCCTGCCCTCGAGGAGTTTGCAGTCCATTGAGGGAAGTCAAGATAATCTGAAACATAATATAAAATGATCTCCAATTAAGCAATTTTTCATAATCATAGGTTTTGGATCAGGATGGACATTGGAGGTAGCTTGTCAACCTCTTACTTGCAACTGAACCATTTCTGTGGTAGAACAGCTTCTCCAGTGTTAAACTCCCTATTATTATTTATCTCCTCTTTCTCACGGGGGAGAACCTCAGGGGACAGTGCCCCTTAAGTGTTAGAAAACAGAGTGATGGTCAGTTTAGGAAGTACTTTCCCATCAGTTGTATCATTTATTCTGCCAAAAACAATCCCAAGAGACAGATACTCACTTTTAGGTGAGGAAATTTAATGAATGCCTCCAAGATTATAGAATTAGGTCCCCAGGCAAGGCCAGGCAAGGCCAGGCAAGTGGGTAAATCATCACACACCTACTATGATTTGAGGGTGTCCAGGGAGGACCACCACCACCCGCCACTTACCTTGTAGTTTTATTTCTTTGATTCTTTGGTATATTTCTCATTTTAAAAATCACCTGTTAAAATGCAGGTATTCTTAAAGGAGCTGACATTTATCAACCTTCCCTGTCCTTATCCAAGAGATTCTTAGTGGAATGCCAACCGAGAGAAAAGCTACGTTAGGGAGGGAGGAGAAGGAAGGAGAAGGTAACCCCATGGAAAGGGTAAAGCATCAAAGGAAAACAACTACAGGTTCAAGACCAGAAAGAGAAGGAAGTCAAACAAAGGCCTTGCAGTTGAGAAGATGAACATTTTTGAAGACAGTAGAGTTTTCCCATTCTGAAAATAACAGACTGAATGCTAACTATGTAATGCTACCATAGTTAGCATGTGTTGAAAGTACACATGGAAGAAACCTTCTTCTCCAAGACTTCCTACATTAATTGAAAGTCTTTGCTAAACCCCTCGTCTCTCCTCTCTCCTATCTGGGGAGACAAGTTGTCACAAAGGAAAACAACCCTGGACTTTTCATTCAGAAAAAATTATGTACCCAGTACTGTGTGAGTTGCTATAGCGAGAAAAGAGACATAAAAATGGTCCCTGTCCCCTAGGAATTTTTCAAATTAGATTGGAGAGAAGAGATACACACAAGGAAATAGAGAGCCATACATGGCCCCATCCATGAAAAGTCAAAATAGTGCAAATAAGAACCAAAAGAGTGGCCCTACCAGCAAAAGCCTCTGGATCATTACTGCCGATTCATTATCTTTTATCATATATAACAAACCACTGGATGGGAATTCTGAATATGTTTATGGGCAAGAAATATTATCTCAATAATTTTAGAAATAAGGGTTATTATTACATGTGCACAGGGACACACGCACACCCCTAAGTCACACCTGATTGCTGACTACCATTTCTGGCATACACACAGGTCATGAATATTGTCTGCCAGGACACCGTACAAACACCCCTCCACATACCACCTTGGACACACCCGGGGCTTAGCATTTCCTGGCTCTCACTCACCCACAGCTTTGCATTCACCTCTCCCACCATCCCACACCCAGGGAACCTGCCACTCAGCCACACCAGAATCCTTCAGGCACTCACCCGCCCATCTTCATCAGAGCATGCCTAGGCCCACTCCATCTCTCATCTCTCCCTCCAGTCTAAGACTGTCCTCCTTTCTTCAGCCAGCCCCTCCTCTCTTAGGCCAGGTGCCATCATTTCTTGCATACTGGGTGCCTTACCCCATACTTCCCACTTCTGCAAAACAAAGACCACAAATGTCCTTAAGTCACCTCTCGCCAGCTCCTCTGTACTTTCATGCTACTACCCAAACTCTCCTTCCTTACTCTGTAAAACTTCCCTAATATGGCCTATCCATTAGCTTTCTCTCCATTCTTTCCTAAATTACACACAGCCCAGTGTTTCTGCAGAGTGATTACAAATAAGGGAATGCCTGATTGTTAGGTGCAGTATGGCTCAAATCCTTAGATTCCAGAGAGCTAACAACTCACCAAGATTCATGCCCTGCAGCCATAGGAAAAGGTTGAACAGCTGTGGGGTAAATGTATTTTACCAGGTGCTCCTCCCTGGTAGCATCCTTCCCCTGGCTGGGGCCCAAGTGACAAACTGCATTATTTCTAACAGCGCCTCAGCCACCGCCGTGCATGGCAGGCTGAGGAAGGTGAACGTCAACTCTGTTCAGCTGAGGGTCTGTCTGTTTACCTCCATACTCCAAATGATCACTCCCAGCTGGCCTGCACCCTCATAGGACCCAACCTGGAGGGTCTTTCAGCACCAAGCTGCCTTCTGAAAGTTAAGGTTTCCCTGATCAACTCCCTCCTCCTCTGTCCCTTTTCCTGCTTCTCAGCTTAAATCTCAACACCAGGTTCGTAGCACCCAACATTAAGGCAGTACAAGTCTGCTTCTGGAGCAAGGCCACAGGTTATTAGGATGGTGAATCTGAAATCAGGGCACACAGTCTGAAATCAGGTGCAAGTGTACATACAGAAACAAACAGGACATTTGAAATCATCTCATGGAAAATGCTGGACCTGTGGATTGCATAGATACAATGGAAAGATTACAAATTTGAATCTCTTTCCAGGACAGATAGAAATAAAAACTTATGTCTCATGGTTAAAAAAAAAAAAATGACCAAAAGACTGGAAACCAGAAGGAGTACAGATCACTGCAACCAATAAATCAGATACTGATCAGGCAAGGCATTTAAAACTTTAAATAACTATAATTCATCATTGTTCAGCCTTATATTCTCTTCACAGCCTCCACTTCCTCATTTGTAAACTGAGGTTTCAATAGATAATTTGGGGTTTAGTGTAGAGATGAACCCTTTCCAACTTAGCTTCTAGCTTGACTGGTACCCAGTGTTGACCTAAAAGGGTTAGGACGGGGGAACAATAAGTCAGTAACCCTTTTCCTTACCCAGCGCCTCTGCATGCTCATCCACTTTTCTCTTCCCATTTCTGGCTTTTTTTTCCTTACTCTTGTCTTCTCCCTTCCTCCACTTTGGAGCTTCATTTTCTGTCTCAAGAAAGCAACTGCATTTTTCCCATCTATTGTAAAGTTATAGGAGAAATGGATGGTGGTCCATGAAGTGTTCACTCCTCGAAAGCGTCCTAAGAACTCACAAGAGTCTGCGCAGGCCTGTGTCTTTGAGAACAGCTCTGGTGCCCAAGCTGGAGCACCAAGAGCAGAGGGTGTGCTGTCTCTTCCCACCAGGGGGGACTGGATGGCGGGGGGTGGGGGGGACCCGAGGTACACTGGAAGCCTGGCGGCAGCTGTATGTACATATAACATGCTTTAGTGAAAGGCAGGGAGGCAGCTTCTCTATGAACAAAACATATCAAACACATACATTTATTTCCTTTTCCCTCTAAATAACAGGAAAGGACTCGGGGGAAAAGAGGTACAAACCCACAAATACAAAGACAACAGGAGATAAGCAAACACTACCTCAGAGATATTAACAAAACTTCGGGAACATGGAAAACAGATGAATGATGGAAAATGGCAGCCATCTGGACAGAGCCTAAGCCACAGAGGGGAACACAGAGCCAGAAGTAAGCAGATTCACTCTGCAGACCTCCACAGTGGCTCATGCACCAGCCGCACCAAACTGGGGCAGACGAGTGAGGAGGCAGGGGGCTAGAACCTGAGGAGTGACGGAAGATCGGTGTGAGGAACAGCGGGCTGTCTATCCTCCATCCAGGCAGACTTCTGGGGCTCTGCTCTCAGCAGACATTGAGTCAGAGAGAACTAAGTGGACACTAGGGTCTCAGGCCTAGCTGAAGGCAGGAATGAAGGACCTGTATTGAAAACTGGTGGATTCAGTAAAAGTGTACATATTGAATTTGAGTCTCTCTTGCTCCCTGGTCATGTTTAGTTTGTGAATGCTGGCATCCAAGTGGTATTATCCCTCTGAGGTAGACAGAATGCGGGCCCTCCAAACAGGTCCGCATCCTAATCCCTGAATCCAGTAAATACGTTACCTTACATGGTAAAGAGATTTGCAGATGTGATTAAATTAAGAATCTTGAGACATACGCTTTGCAACTTTGAGGCTGAAATCATCTCAAAACTTTAAAAAATTTAAATGAAGTAAATCATTGCTCCCCCATTTTTATCAACCAGACTGTTATAGTATTAAATATTAATTATAATATTAAATATTAATATACTATTAAATAACTATTAGAGCTTTACCAGTCGAAATGTGACGATATTGCCATATTACCATATTACACTGACTTGATGTAAATTCAGCCTAAGGCCACAAAACTTGATATTTTACCTAGCCTACATAATCTTAATAAAGATAGGTTTTCCATTCTTTGAAATACTGAAAATAGCTTGCAGATCTCATTTATCACCTTTGAGGACTTTAAGGAACATGAGGTTCTCAGATTTGTAAATCACATAAATGGAGTCTAATATAAGCTTTGATAATTTGTTTCTCTTTTCTCTTAAGGTTAAACCCCAGCTTGAAAGTAAAACAAACAGGACCTATGAAGAATTCAAAGTGGTACAATATAAAACTCAAGTGGTTGCTGGAACCAATTACTACATTAAGGTTAGAGTTAAACATTCGCTTGGGCACTAAAAGATACTGTAGTTCTTGCTTTATGGGATGTTCCCAGTCACACCTACCATATCATTTGTTCCATCCAGTCGTCCTAAATGCCTATTTTGCATACTACTTCCTAAGTACCAAATTTGGCAGATGATGGTATATTTATACCATCTTTTTCTTGTGAATTTAGAAAGCTTTCTTAAGTTGATTCTTACCTTAATTTTCAGATTTTGTATAGAAAAATATTTCATAATGGTTCTAAGCATGTTTCATTTGTGGCTATGGCTGCTTCTTGTGTGAAGTACGAGGGTAATCTCTCAGTTGCCTGAAAGCGTGGGGCTGGACCAGATGCTATCTTGAAGCTCAAAGTTTTGTGATTCTGTGTGTCTGTATTAAATGAAGTTAAGGAATGATTTAATTCATTAGCTGTGAAAATAACTTAAATCACTTTTGCCGCTTAAATAAACATTTTGATTAATACAATTTAAGTAACTACTTATGCAATTGAAATAAGTTGATTCAACTGTGGCACTGTAGATGTAATTTAAAGCAGTGGAGCATTTTAAATATTTTTAAAATTAATTTTATAACTGAAAAAATTAAATGATGCACTATCCAGCTCTAATTGAAAATGGTTGTGAAGTTACTGAGAGGGAACCAATTCAAAAAGTCAACCATGAATATTTGGGAGCCATTTTTGTCATTTCATATTGAGAAGACAATAATTATGATGTAATGCATAACAACAGACATTCAAATGTATTCACTTAATCCTTACTAAACCATTTGACCAAGGCACAGTCCGGCTTATTTCTCTTTAACAAATAATTACTGAAGATATAAAATTGCAATGTTTTCAGCAAAAAAAAATAAATAAAGCAGTGTAACCAGTTTAGCATGAGAAAATTACAAACTGGGTTATGTAAGTGGATCAGCTCTGTCCTACCAAATTTGAGCTCCTAGTGTATGCCAAGCCCTGGAGACGCACATGAATGAGATCCCTCCTGACCTTCGGCAATGGCATCGTTTCCTCATTTCTCAATCTGCTTTCTTTATAGCTGGAAAAGAATGATTTCCAGTTAAAAATGATTTTGTTCAAAAATAAGAAACATTCCATTATAATTGGGATCATTATTTTAATAATTTAGGATTAATCCAAGTGCATAAATTTCACATTAGCCAGCTCATGTTTATCTTAAAAAGCTTATCAGAAAACTGTCTTGAAAACTTCTGCCCTTAAGACCACCTAGCTGATCTTAACCACAATTTCTTCTCTCCTTCCTTCTGCTATCAGATTTCTCCTATTGAACTACAGCCACTGACCCCAGTTGCCTCATTACTTCCTGGTGGTCTTTGCTCTGAACCTCTCTCTACATTTAAGGTCTTTCCTACTGTTGGCCTAAAGTTTTGGTCTTGACTTCTGTTTTCTTTCTCAAGTATCTCTCAAGAGGCAAGTGGTGGAATGCAAGGATCCCATGCAGGCTTTGCTGTCAGACAGTCTTGGATTTGAATGCTTGTTGGACTTGTTCTACTAGTTAAAACCTGTGTGATCACAGCTCTTCATCTTCTCTGAGTCTTGATTCCCTATATGCACAATGTGGGTATTAACCTATTTTTCAAGGTGTGTGGAATAAAATGAACTAGAAATTTACTGCGCACTTACAACATGCCAGGCACTGTTCTAACGGCTAGGCATGTATTATCTCATGTAATTCTCTTAACAAATCTGTAAGATAAGTATGATCATATCCCTTGTGTTAGAGAGGAAAAAATGAGCACCAGGATGTAAAGTAACTAGTAAGGTCACATAATTATAAGATTTAAACCCAAGAAGTCTGATGCTCAACTACTGGCTCTGCTGCCTCTAATAATGTAAGCAAAGGCTGGTGCACTGAATAAATGCTATTAAAAGGTTACACCATAGAGTGAAAAGAATATAGATTGATGGAGGCTATATTTGCATTTTGACTCTGTCACTTATTAGCTGAGCAATGTATCAAAAATTACTTAATATCTCTTAATATGCTTCTGCATCTGTAAAATCATCATTGTTCTACCTTTAGGCCTATAAGAAGTAAACATAATCATGTATATAAAATGTTAATCATAATATGACTCATACATAGTTATATGATAAATGGCACTTGTTAAAATTAGGTTTGAAAGGGACATCAGAACACAGTAAATATTATTCTAAGGCATAACTTTCATTGTCTCAACCAAGAACAAAAGTAGAAGTTCTTACCATGATTTTCTAGGTGCCAAATTCATCCCCAAAATACCATTACAATCAATCAATAAAGTGTCTCAATTTCCCAATTTGGTAGTCAGAAAACAGGAGCAACAGAAAGGCTTTGTTTTCTTGCTCTTGTGTATCTTTGAAAATGAAATGCAACCCCAGATTTTGATTTGTGGTCAGATCATAGCAAAATGTAAAATGAAATAAACCTAGGACCTATGCCTCTGCCCTTTCTCTCATAAAATGAGGTGGTAGATTGATGAAAGCCAAGGGCCTAAGGATACTGGTCTAGGAATACTGTTCCAGAAAAACTTATGAAATAAAATCTTTACGGGTCTGTAGATCTTTCAGGTGACGTAGATCGATGTGAATAAATTTCCTTTCCCTTTTTTCACCTTTTAGGTGCAAGTAGGTGATAACAGTTACATTCACATCAAAGTATTCAAAAGTCTTCCTGCAGAACATGAGACTCTGACACTTACTGGTTACCAAGAGGGCAAAAGCAAGGACGATGAGCTGAGTGGCTTTTAGTAGCAAGTTCCAGTTCAAGATAATCTGAAACATAATATAAAATGATCTCCAATTAAGCAATTTTTCATAATCATAGGTTTTGGATCAGGATGGACATTGGAGGTAGCTTGTCAACCTCTTACTTGCAACTGAACCATTTCTGTGGTAGAACAGCTTCTCCAGTGTTAAACTCCCTATTATTATTTATCTCCTCTTTCTCACGGGGGAGAACCTCAGGGGACAGTGCCCCTTAAGTGTTAGAAAACAGAGTGATGGTCAGTTTAGGAAGTACTTTCCCATCAGTTGTATCATTTATTCTGCCAAAAACAATCCCAAGAGACAGATACTCACTTTTAGGTGAGGAAATTTAATGAATGCCTCCAAGATTATAGAATTAGGTCCCCAGGCAAGGCCAGGCAAGGCCAGGCAAGTGGGTAAATCATCACACACCTACTATGATTTGAGGGTGTCCAGGGAGGACCACCACCACCCGCCACTTACCTTGTAGTTTTATTTCTTTGATTCTTTGGTATATTTCTCATTTTAAAAATCACCTGTTAAAATGCAGGTATTCTTAAAGGAGCTGACATTTATCAACCTTCCCTGTCCTTATCCAAGAGATTCTTAGTGGAATGCCAACCGAGAGAAAAGCTACGTTAGGGAGGGAGGAGAAGGAAGGAGAAGGTAACCCCATGGAAAGGGTAAAGCATCAAAGGAAAACAACTACAGGTTCAAGACCAGAAAGAGAAGGAAGTCAAACAAAGGCCTTGCAGTTGAGAAGATGAACATTTTTGAAGACAGTAGAGTTTTCCCATTCTGAAAATAACAGACTGAATGCTAACTATGTAATGCTACCATAGTTAGCATGTGTTGAAAGTACACATGGAAGAAACCTTCTTCTCCAAGACTTCCTACATTAATTGAAAGTCTTTGCTAAACCCCTCGTCTCTCCTCTCTCCTATCTGGGGAGACAAGTTGTCACAAAGGAAAACAACCCTGGACTTTTCATTCAGAAAAAATTATGTACCCAGTACTGTGTGAGTTGCTATAGCGAGAAAAGAGACATAAAAATGGTCCCTGTCCCCTAGGAATTTTTCAAATTAGATTGGAGAGAAGAGATACACACAAGGAAATAGAGAGCCATACATGGCCCCATCCATGAAAAGTCAAAATAGTGCAAATAAGAACCAAAAGAGTGGCCCTACCAGCAAAAGCCTCTGGATCATTACTGCCGATTCATTATCTTTTATCATATATAACAAACCACTGGATGGGAATTCTGAATATGTTTATGGGCAAGAAATATTATCTCAATAATTTTAGAAATAAGGGTTATTATTACATGTGCACAGGGACACACGCACACCCCTAAGTCACACCTGATTGCTGACTACCATTTCTGGCATACACACAGGTCATGAATATTGTCTGCCAGGACACCGTACAAACACCCCTCCACATACCACCTTGGACACACCCGGGGCTTAGCATTTCCTGGCTCTCACTCACCCACAGCTTTGCATTCACCTCTCCCACCATCCCACACCCAGGGAACCTGCCACTCAGCCACACCAGAATCCTTCAGGCACTCACCCGCCCATCTTCATCAGAGCATGCCTAGGCCCACTCCATCTCTCATCTCTCCCTCCAGTCTAAGACTGTCCTCCTTTCTTCAGCCAGCCCCTCCTCTCTTAGGCCAGGTGCCATCATTTCTTGCATACTGGGTGCCTTACCCCATACTTCCCACTTCTGCAAAACAAAGACCACAAATGTCCTTAAGTCACCTCTCGCCAGCTCCTCTGTACTTTCATGCTACTACCAAAACTCTCCTTCCTTACTCTGTAAAACTTCCCTAATATGGCCTATCCATTAGCTTTCTCTCCATTCTTTCCTAAATTACACACAGCCCAGTGTTTCTGCAGAGTGATTACAAATAAGGGAATGCCTGATTGTTAGGTGCAGTATGGCTCAAATCCTTAGATTCCAGAGAGCTAACAACTCACCAAGATTCATGCCCTGCAGCCATAGGAAAAGGTTGAACAGCTGTGGGGTAAATGTATTTTACCAGGTGCTCCTCCCTGGTAGCATCCTTCCCCTGGCTGGGGCCCAAGTGACAAACTGCATTATTTCTAACAGCGCCTCAGCCACCGCCGTGCATGGCAGGCTGAGGAAGGTGAACGTCAACTCTGTTCAGCTGAGGGTCTGTCTGTTTACCTCCATACTCCAAATGATCACTCCCAGCTGGCCTGCACCCTCATAGGACCCAACCTGGAGGGTCTTTCAGCACCAAGCTGCCTTCTGAAAGTTAAGGTTTCCCTAATCAACTCCCTCCTCCTCTGTCCCTTTTCCTGCTTCTCAGCTTAAATCTCAACACCAGGTTCGTAGCACCCAACATTAAGGCAGTACAAGTCTGCTTCTGGAGCAAGGCCACAGGTTATTAGGATGGTGAATCTGAAATCAGGGCACACAGTCTGAAATCAGGTGCAAGTGTACATACAGAAACAAACAGGACATTTGAAATCATCTCATGGAAAATGCTGGACCTGTGGATTGCATAGATACAATGGAAAGATTACAAATTTGAATCTCTTTCCAGGACAGATAGAAATAAAAACTTATGTCTCATGGTTAAAAAAAAAAAATGACCAAAAGACTGGAAACCAGAAGGAGTACAGATCACTGCAACCAATAAATCAGATACTGATCAGGCAAGGCATTTAAAACTTTAAATAACTATAATTCATCATTGTTCAGCCTTATATTCTCTTCACAGCCTCCACTTCCTCATTTGTAAACTGAGGTTTCAATAGATAATTTGGGGTTTAGTGTAGAGATGAACCCTTTCCAACTTAGCTTCTAGCTTGACTGGTACCCAGTGTTGACCTAAAAGGGTTAGGACGGGGGAACAATAAGTCAGTAACCCTTTTCCTTACCCAGCGCCTCTGCATGCTCATCCACTTTTCTCTTCCCATTTCTGGCTTTTTTTTCCTTACTCTTGTCTTCTCCCTTCCTCCACTTTGGAGCTTCATTTTCTGTCTCAAGAAAGCAACTGCATTTTTCCCATCTATTGTAAAGTTATAGGAGAAATGGATGGTGGTCCCTGAAGTGTTCACTCCTTGAAAGCGTCCTAAGAACTCACAAGAGTCTGCGCAGGCCTGTGTCTTTGAGAACAGCTCTGGTGCCCAAGCTGGAGCACCAAGAGCAGAGGGTGTGCTGTCTCTTCCCACCAGGGGGGACTGGATGGCGGGGGGTGGGGGGGACCCGAGGTACACTGGAAGCCTGGCGGCAGCTGTATGTACATATAACATGCTTTAGTGAAAGGCAGGGAGGCAGCTTCTCTATGAACAAAACATATCAAACACATACATTTATTTCCTTTTCCCTCTAAATAACAGGAAAGGACTCGGGGGAAAAGAGGTACAAACCCACAAATACAAAGACAACAGGAGATAAGCAAACACTACCTCAGAGATATTAACAAAACTTCGGGAACATGGAAAACAGATGAATGATGGAAAATGGCAGCCATCTGGACAGAGCCTAAGCCACAGAGGGGAACACAGAGCCAGAAGTAAGCAGATTCACTCTGCAGACCTCCACAGTGGCTCACGCACCAGCCGCACCAAACTGGGGCAGACGAGTGAGGAGGCAGGGGGCTAGAACCTGAGGAGTGACGGAAGATCGGTGTGAGGAACAGCGGGCTGTCTATCCTCCATCCAGGCAGACTTCTGGGGCTCTGCTCTCAGCAGACATTGAGTCAGAGAGAACTAAGTGGACACTAGGGTCTCAGGCCTAGCTGAAGGCAGGAATGAAGGACCTGTATTGAAAACTGGTGGATTCAGTAAAAGTGTACATATTGAATTTGAGTCTCTCTTGCTCCCTGGTCATGTTTAGTTTGTGAATGCTGGCATCCAAGTGGTATTATCCCTCTGAGGTAGACAGAATGCGGGCCCTCCAAACAGGTCCGCATCCTAATCCCTGAATCCAGTAAATACGTTACCTTACATGGTAAAGAGATTTGCAGATGTGATTAAATTAAGAATCTTGAGACATACGCTTTGCAACTTTGAGGCTGAAATCATCTCAAAACTTTAAAAAATTTAAATGAAGTAAATCATTGCTCCCCCATTTTTATCAACCAGACTGTTATAGTATTAAATATTAATTATAATATTAAATATTAATATACTATTAAATAACTATTAGAGCTTTACCAGTCGAAATGTGACGATATTGCCATATTACCATATTACACTGACTTGATGTAAATTCAGCCTAAGGCCACAAAACTTGATATTTTACCTAGCCTACATAATCTTAATAAAGATAGGTTTTCCATTCTTTGAAATACTGAAAATAGCTTGCAGATCTCATTTATCACCTTTGAGGACTTTAAGGAACATGAGGTTCTCAGATTTGTAAATCACATAAATGGAGTCTAATATAAGCTTTGATAATTTGTTTCTCTTTTCTCTTAAGGTTAAACCCCAGCTTGAAAGTAAAACAAACAGGACCTATGAAGAATTCAAAGTGGTACAATATAAAACTCAAGTGGTTGCTGGAACCAATTACTACATTAAGGTTAGAGTTAAACATTCGCTTGGGCACTAAAAGATACTGTAGTTCTTGCTTTATGGGATGTTCCCAGTCACACCTACCATATCATTTGTTCCATCCAGTCGTCCTAAATGCCTATTTTGCATACTACTTCCTAAGTACCAAATTTGGCAGATGATGGTATATTTATACCATCTTTTTCTTGTGAATTTAGAAAGCTTTCTTAAGTTGATTCTTACCTTAATTTTCAGATTTTGTATAGAAAAATATTTCATAATGGTTCTAAGCATGTTTCATTTGTGGCTATGGCTGCTTCTTGTGTGAAGTACGAGGGTAATCTCTCAGTTGCCTGAAAGCGTGGGGCTGGACCAGATGCTATCTTGAAGCTCAAAGTTTTGTGATTCTGTGTGTCTGTATTAAATGAAGTTAAGGAATGATTTAATTCATTAGCTGTGAAAATAACTTAAATCACTTTTGCCGCTTAAATAAACATTTTGATTAATACAATTTAAGTAACTACTTATGCAATTGAAATAAGTTGATTCAACTGTGGCACTGTAGATGTAATTTAAAGCAGTGGAGCATTTTAAATATTTTTAAAATTAATTTTATAACTGAAAAAATTAAATGATGCACTATCCAGCTCTAATTGAAAATGGTTGTGAAGTTACTGAGAGGGAACCAATTCAAAAAGTCAACCATGAATATTTGGGAGCCATTTTTGTCATTTCATATTGAGAAGACAATAATTATGATGTAATGCATAACAACAGACATTCAAATGTATTCACTTAATCCTTACTAAACCATTTGACCAAGGCACAGTCCGGCTTATTTCTCTTTAACAAATAATTACTGAAGATATAAAATTGCAATGTTTTCAGCAAAAAAAAATAAATAAAGCAGTGTAACCAGTTTAGCATGAGAAAATTACAAACTGGGTTATGTAAGTGGATCAGCTCTGTCCTACCAAATTTGAGCTCCTAGTGTATGCCAAGCCCTGGAGACGCACATGAATGAGATCCCTCCTGACCTTCGGCAATGGCATCGTTTCCTCATTTCTCAATCTGCTTTCTTTATAGCTGGAAAAGAATGATTTCCAGTTAAAAATGATTTTGTTCAAAAATAAGAAACATTCCATTATAATTGGGATCATTATTTTAATAATTTAGGATTAATCCAAGTGCATAAATTTCACATTAACCAGCTCATGTTTATCTTAAAAAGCTTATCAGAAAACTGTCTTGAAAACTTCTGCCCTTAAGACCACCTAGCTGATCTTAACCACAATTTCTTCTCTCCTTCCTTCTGCTATCAGATTTCTCCTATTGAACTACAGCCACTGACCCCAGTTGCCTCATTACTTCCTGGTGGTCTTTGCTCTGAACCTCTCTCTACATTTAAGGTCTTTCCTACTGTTGGCCTAAAGTTTTGGTCTTGACTTCTGTTTTCTTTCTCAAGTATCTCTCAAGAGGCAAGTGGTGGAATGCAAGGATCCCATGCAGGCTTTGCTGTCAGACAGTCTTGGATTTGAATGCTTGTTGGACTTGTTCTACTAGTTAAAACCTGTGTGATCACAGCTCTTCATCTTCTCTGAGTCTTGATTCCCTATATGCACAATGTGGGTATTAACCTATTTTTCAAGGTGTGTGGAATAAAATGAACTAGAAATTTACTGCGCACTTACAACATGCCAGGCACTGTTCTAACGGCTAGGCATGTATTATCTCATGTAATTCTCTTAACAAATCTGTAAGATAAGTATGATCATATCCCTTGTGTTAGAGAGGAAAAAATGAGCACCAGGATGTAAAGTAACTAGTAAGGTCACATAATTATAAGATTTAAACCCAAGAAGTCTGATGCTCAACTACTGGCTCTGCTGCCTCTAATAATGTAAGCAAAGGCTGGTGCACTGAATAAATGCTATTAAAAGGTTACACCATAGAGTGAAAAGAATATAGATTGATGGAGGCTATATTTGCATTTTGACTCTGTCACTTATTAGCTGAGCAATGTATCAAAAATTACTTAATATCTCTTAATATGCTTCTGCATCTGTAAAATCATCATTGTTCTACCTTTAGGCCTATAAGAAGTAAACATAATCATGTATATAAAATGTTAATCATAATATGACTCATACATAGTTATATGATAAATGGCACTTGTTAAAATTAGGTTTGAAAGGGACATCAGAACACAGTAAATATTATTCTAAGGCATAACTTTCATTGTCTCAACCAAGAACAAAAGTAGAAGTTCTTACCATGATTTTCTAGGTGCCAAATTCATCCCCAAAATACCATTACAATCAATCAATAAAGTGTCTCAATTTCCCAATTTGGTAGTCAGAAAACAGGAGCAACAGAAAGGCTTTGTTTTCTTGCTCTTGTGTATCTTTGAAAATGAAATGCAACCCCAGATTTTGATTTGTGGTCAGATCATAGCAAAATGTAAAATGAAATAAACCTAGGACCTATGCCTCTGCCCTTTCTCTCATAAAATGAGGTGGTAGATTGATGAAAGCCAAGGGCCTAAGGATACTGGTCTAGGAATACTGTTCCAGAAAAACTTATGAAATAAAATCTTTACGGGTCTGTAGATCTTTCAGGTGACGTAGATCGATGTGAATAAATTTCCTTTCCCTTTTTTCACCTTTTAGGTGCAAGTAGGTGATAACAGTTACATTCACATCAAAGTATTCAAAAGTCTTCCTGCAGAACATGAGACTCTGACACTTACTGGTTACCAAGAGGGCAAAAGCAAGGACGATGAGCTGAGTGGCTTTTAGTAGCAAGTTCCAGAAGTGGTCTGCTATCTTCTTCTGGCACCTGATGAATGATTCCTGCTCATAAATGTAACTATCAATAAAGAAGCATTCCTTATGAAATAAGTTGACGTCTTCAACTATTTCTTGTCTATTTTGTTAGAGTCATTGCCTTTTCTTTCTCAAAACTGATTTTACTGCTTTAGAGTAGAAATTCCACACAAATCGTCAATTGGAAATTTTGAAAAAATTAGTCAGGCATAATGCAACTAGCTAAAGGGTAATACCACCACCGCCACCACGACTCCCCCTACAGGCAGGCTAGATCACGGGCCATCAGTGCTCTGCGGTTGTGGAAAATCTAGTATTCCAGCTCTACCCACACATTTTGCAATTAAATCAGGTATTTTACAAAATAAATTTATATCTTGAAACAGTCTCAAATTTACAGATTAGTCACTAAAAACTTTTTTCCTGGACATTCAAGAGTACCTACAGTGATGCCCCAACACCAGCAAACACTTTGGTGTGTGTTTCCTAGAACAAGTGTATTCTCCTGAATATATGAAATACAACCATCAAAATCAAGAAATTTTCATTGATACATTTGCTAGGATCTACTCCCCAGACAACATTAAAATTTCTCCAGTCATCCAAAAAATGTTCTTTACTGCAAAAAGATCCAATCCAAAACTGTGTGTCCCACTTAACTGCCATTTTTCTCTTTAACACCTTCATTGAGATATAATTTACATATCATATAATTTTCACCCAATTAAAGTATACAATTCAATAGTTTTTAGTATATTCACCAAAGCCAGTTTTAGAACATTTTCACCTCAAAAAGAAACCCCATATACTTTAGCTATCAATCCCCATCCTCCTCCACACCTCTACCCCTAAGCAACTATTAATGACTTACCTTCTGTCTCTATAGATTTGCCTACTCTAGACATTCTATATATATAGAATCATATCATACACATTTTTTAATTGGCTTCTTTCACTTACCACAGTGTTTTCAAGGTTTATCCATATTGTAGCATGTACCAATATTCATTCTTTTTTATAGCCGAATAATATTCCATTTTTTAAATATACTACATTTTGTTTACTCATTCATTAGTTGATATATATTTGACTTTCTTTCACCTTTTGTCCATTACAAACAACGTATAAATATTTGTGCACAAGTTTTTGTGTGTACATATGTTTTAGTTTCTCCTAGGTATATATCTAAGAGTGAAATTGCTGGTTCATATGGTAATTCTATGTTTAATGGATCAAGAACTTACAGACTGTTTTCCAAAATAGCTGCAGCATTTTGTCTAACTCAAGAGAAAGAGAGAAAATACACTCTTGTCTTGCAAGGGTGAAGCAATCAACCCTAGCTGTCTGTCAGGGTACTTCCAGAGTCCTCTGCCACAGACCTTGTGCTTATTGGGCCAAGAGAAGATTCAGAAGGCATGATTCTGACCAAGGTTGTAGGCAAAGCCTACTCTGTTCTGTTTTGGGAAACAAGTTTCTTCACTTACCTGAGGGAGTGGATTGACCATTTTCTGCCTGGTTTATTTATTTAGAAGAAACCCTTGGAGGTTTCCCTTGCTGAAACTTGAAGTTCAGACGCAGGTTATTCATCCCAGGCACTGAGATCCACAGCACCAGGCCTCAAACATTGGTTGAGGAGAGATAAACCGGCAACCAAACAGTGTCATAAAAATCATGACAGAGGGATTGATCATGGGAATACATAAAAGGGACACCTCATTTGTATTTGGGAAGTCAGGAGAGGCTTGCTAACAGAAGTGGGCTGAGACATGAAGCATAGGAATTGGCCAGGAAAGAGTGAGCATATAATGAAGTTCCGAGGTGGGACTGGGTCTTTTCTGGGAACAGAAAGTAGGTCCCTATTGGTGGAAAAAAGAGTGTACTGTAGAGAGAGAAGGTGGAGGTAAGCAAGAGCCAGAGAACAAAGGACTTCACAAGTCCTTGTGCCCACCACCACCACATCTTGGTACTTAACCATCAAGGCAATGAGAATCACTGAGGAATCTTAAGCAGGAAACAGATTTTGCTTGGCAGTTTTAAAAATTGGAGGGGAAAGGTCATTCATTTATAGCAATTATGCACCAGTGGATCTGCTGCCCCTTCTTAATGCACTGTTAGACCCACAAATTCACATAGGCCAAGCCCATTCTCATTTTACCAAGGTACTCCAGCTGGCCACTGCATTCAGAAGCTGGGAGATGTTTCTGCTTTAACCCCTTACTAGCATCTTGGGTTTCCTCCCCAACATAATGCTTTGGGGTAAATTAGGTTTCTTCTGGAAAGACTCCCTCTACTAGAAGTAATCACTTTTTGACTATTCCTCAATGTTCATGCCCAGGTATGGTTTCTGTTTTTTGTTTTTTACAATTTACTTTTTTATTTTTGTATCATTAACATACACTTACATGAGCAACATTGTGGTTACTAGATTCCCCCCATTATCAAGTCCATCCCACATACCCCATTACAGTCACTGCCCATCAGTGTAGTAAGATGTTATAGAGTCACTACTTGTCTTCTTTGACCTATACTGCCTTCCCCATGCCCCACCACCACCACATTACGTGTGCTAATCATAATGCCCCTTATTCCCCCTTCCCACCTACTTTCCCCAGTCCCTTTCCCTTTGGTAACTGTTAGTCCATTCTTGGGTTCTGTGAGTCTGGTGCTGTTTTGTTCCTTCAGTTTTTGCTTTGTTCTTATACTCCACAGATGAGTGAAATCATTTGATACCAGGTATGTATTTTTAAGAGTCAATTAAAGCTTAATTCTAACTACACATAGAAATCATGTCGCCTAAGTAATCACTAACATAATTGATTAGATCATGTAAGCCTAGGAAGAACATTCATTTTTCTTGATTTGAAATGAATCCACACATTAGACTATTATCCCAGTTTATGCATTATTCCTGGATGGTCTTAAATAGAACACTTGGCCCATAAGCAGAGACCCCTGCAGCAGCACTAGGCACATTATCTCTCTGTTTCCCAAACTGATGTCTTTAGAGCTAAACTTAGAATATTTCCTTTTTATTACTGCAGTTATTTGGTTTATTTCAGTCCCTATTTAAATTGGCTTTTGAAAAACAAGGCCAGTATAATATTCTCTAAGAGCTTGGAACAGTCCTTTGCCACCCTCTCCACTCCCCATTCCTGATTCCCTGCTTTACTTTGGGCACATAACTTCATCACCACTTAGCATACTACATAATTTATTTCTTTGCCATTGTCTGTCTCCCCTCACTACATGTCAATGATTTTTCTTTTTGTTCAGTGATGTATTAATAGTAGCTATGAGTGCCTAGAATACAGAAAGCTTTCAAATACTTATTAAAAGAATTTATAAATAGATCATCAGTGTTTCTTTTATTGACTATTTCTCTGTCCTGCTGAGAAAAGGCCAAACTCATCCCTGAACCTTTGCACATTGTTTCTTCTCTTTTTTGGTTAAATCCTCCCTATTCTCAGCAATGAATTGTTAAGGCAGCAATTACATGCAAGACATTAGGAGGCAAATCAACTTTCAGGAGCAATGAGCCATCCCTTTCTTCATATTTGAGGCTTTAAGTGCCACTGACCACAAACTAAACATACTAATATTCATTTATATTAAAAGTCACTCCTCATTCCCAGAATTGCACATTTTTAATAGTATGTTACATTGAGATGATTCAAGCATCCTGTTAACATAATTGGATTGGATAGTGTAATAGCAGACCTGTATTTCTGGAAAGGCTATGAATCCTTTCCAAGGATTGTTTCTGAATTCCCTCCTGAGCCTCAGGAAGATCTTTGTTGAGTCTTACTCTTATTCTTACATGTATTCTTTCAATTCACTCATCCATCCAATAATTATTAAACATCAATTTCCTGCCAGGCACCATTCATTAATAGGCAAATCCTATACAGAATCTTTACTGCTGGCCCTAGGAAATTTTTCTTATTGATAAGACTAAATTATCATCTCCACTAAAGCAGGTCGTTTATTGATATGCCCAACAACAAAAACAGTATCTGACCCAGTTAAGTGCTCAAAAGTTGTATTTAAAGATCAGTGAATACTTCATACCTTTACTGCTCGCTACCCAGTGTGTTAAGTCTGATGCAGGTCAACATATTGAACACATAGGCCTACCCACGACCCAGTCAATCTAACTTTGCCAGAGGCAGATGGCTTATGTTTGAAGCATCATGATAGAATCCTAAAATGGCTTTCCAAGAAGCCCACTCTAATCCACCAGACTGTGAATAAGAGACATTCCATCTGTGATTACATTACCTGGCAAGAGATTTGCAGATGTAAAATGGAATTAAGGATATAATCGGCTGACTTTGATTTATTCAAATATTAAAGACTTAAGCACACAAGATCCTTTAAAAGCAGTTTGGCTGATAGCAGAAAAGGAAGTCAGAACCCAAGAATGAGGATTCAATGTACCACTCGTTACTAGTCTGAAGAGGGAAGGAGTCTGTGTCAAAAAGTGCAGTGGCAGATTAAGATTAAAGAGAGGTGAGACAGAAACCTCCTCCCAAAACCATATATAATGTGAAAATATAGCGAATACATCAAATCCTGAAAGGGTAACAGGAAAGATGGCTGCAGCAGACTGTCTACACCTGGGTAAACCAGCAGACCTCAAGGAAAATGGTTAAGTACTAAAGCCGTGATGTGGAGGAACCCATGCCCTTCCCCCACCCCAGCTCACAGGGCAGAGGAAGAGAAATGGACCAGGGAGGGGGTGGAGGCCTAGGATTGCTGAACACCCAGCCCTGGAGATCTGCTCTGGGAACACGAACCTACATTACATGGTGCTCTGGAGATTGGTGGGATTGGAAAGCTAAAACAGGTGGAATATCTGGAGAGAATGAGATTCCAGCTGCTTGTGGAAAATGAGGATCCATATCCAACTGCTAGGAGACAAAAGAAAGGCAGGCAGTCTGAGAGACTACCTAACAGCGAGAGGGCTGCTACAGGGACAAGGATTGCATAGAGCTGGTTGCTCAGAAGAAAGAACGGTTGGACAAAATTGTCCAGGCGCACTCTGCCTAGTGGGTTGGGAATTTTCAGGAGCTTCA